GTTGCAGCGGTGGCGGCGGCTTCTTGCTTCGCCGAAGCGAAGGCGTCCTGGATCGCGGAGAATCCTCGGGGCTCCGGAGGAGTTCTCGCCTACATCGTCCGTATAGGACGACTCGGGAACTCAACTCCTACCCCGGGCAGCTCACCGATCCCCTTATGCCCAGGGGAAAGGTATCAAGCCGTTTGACAGCAGATGCTGGTTGTCAAACCGGCTTTTACGCAAAACAGGCGGGAGGCAGCAAACAGCTGCGACCAGCGAAATCGCCTGCCACCGGAAGTCTTCCCACCATCATCATCATAATGCCATCACTAGCTCTTTCCCAGAGGATGAGGCAGGGAGAAGAAGGTGAAGCTTGGCCATTACAGCCAATCAGTGTTTGGAAGGTATGTTCTGTGCCATCAGATCTTGGCAATGGGTTCTCAGCCCCTGACCCTTCACCTCTTTTTCTCAGATGACTAGGCAAGTAATATGGGTCAACAAGTTGGGTTCCCACAGTACAGCTCACTGGGTGGAGCTAGGTTAATCCTGTGCACTGGTTAAAATTAACCATTCGAGGTTGACAATTTGATCAGTTGACTCTTTTGGTATTTCCCCAACACATTAATTGCTCCACTGGCTCCTTGACAGAGTTCTGTGAACAGGACAGTTCTAATGCTGGCCCCATTTTAGGTGTCATGGCTGCAATGAACATCTTGCTCAATAATCAGTATATAAATAAGCTGTTGAATTTACACATTATTGGATTCCTTGGGCAATTGAAATAATGCATAAAAAAGCCAGTTTTTCAATACAGCATTTGCTTCTTTACCAGCATTATAATAGATTTCTCTCCCCCCCGAAAGTTTATATATATATTTAGTTTTGTTCTACTGAACTCTGTAATAATTTAATATGTGCAAAGACAGCTGAATGTTGCTTTAATTTTGTGGGATTTTAAAATCCTGGATATCTCATGATAGAGATAGATGATAGATAGATAGATAGATAGATAGATAGATAGATAGATAGATAGATAGATAGATACATCACCATGTGATTACGATTTTAATTCCTGGTTTGTTATAATAGCTGGTGACCCTCACTTGAACATAATCCAGAATTATGGTTCATTGTACTGAAAGCAAAAGTTTCATATTTCTTGTATCCAGAGTTAGAAAAGGAGAAATATATAGAAGACTGGACTGCAGCTTCATTCCTAATTAGTGAAACTATGATTTATGTATTAGCTATGCATTATTATGAAGAGTTTCATTTGATTTGAATATAAAGATCTATTTGATGTACTTTTCTTACTTATGTTTCTTAAATTATCTGGAAATTTTCTTAGCTGGAAGAGTACTACCTGCTTGACAGCAAAACGAGAATATAAATAATTGCACACCAAGAGTTCATCAAGTGCAGGGGTCTTCAAACTTGACCCTTTTATGACTTGTGGACTTCAAGTCCCAGAATTCCTCAACCAGCATGCCTGGCTGAGGAATTCTGGGAGTTGAAGTCCACAAGTCATAAAAGGGCCACGTTTGAGGACCCTTGATCAAGAGAATCAGTCATTTAATGGGATACTTTCCACTGACAGGGAATGGCAATGGGTGTGAAGGAGGAAATCTACTGGTGACGGAGGTAACGTGCAGCTCCACCCCTGGCCAAAAATAGGTGTTGAAGCTTTTTTTCTTTTTTTTTTAATAATTGTGTTAGCTTGGGAGTCACTTGCACTGCAGTAATTGCTAGGTATGGATTTAATAAAGATAGCCTAAATGTTTAATATTTTTCTCCATTGGCACATGCTGACCCTAGTTTACTTTCTTTGAAGGCCAGCAGTTCTTTGCGAGGTTTATTTTTTAGAGCTGAAACGATAGGCACTGTGCTAGCTACCAGCTTATGTTCAAGGCTCTTCTGTGCTTCAGTTCAAACCCTCAAACTTAAATATAGCACAAATTCCAAACATATTTTAGCCAGTGACTTGTCATTCCCTATTTAATATCCCCAAGTCCCAGCCCCCTCCTGCTGAAAGATTTGACACATATATCCATAACACATGGGGGTTGATCTGGAAATCCATAGACTATTTTTTTGTTTTGTTTTTTGCAATTTGTATGAGCAGCCAGGCACACAGGCACCCTTTCGTCTATTCCTTTGAGTCCTGAAATCCTGTTTCTAGTCTACTCTACTCCTGAGTCTTGTTCCTAGTTTTCTGCTGCTTTTAAGCCAATGTAAGCAGTCCTTCTCAATTGTCAACTCATAATCATCTACGCAAATCAGACTCAGGATAAGCCGCTAAACTGGCTTCCTTCCTTATGTGATTCAGGTTGCCTCTGGGCCAAGGAAGCAAGCTGAGCAGGCTCCTCTCCCTTACAAAAGCTCTTTTGAGAGACAGTCTGGACCAGTTGCAGCTGCCGCTTTCAACCTCCCCACCACCCTTCATTTCAAAAGCTTTGGACAGAACCCAATAAGGAGTGAGGGCAGAGAATGTTCCGGCTATAAACACTATGCCAGCAATATCAAACTTAATTTCAGCCGTGTTTTTCTTAAAATTTGATTCGCACTCTTGGAAGGGTTATAAATGAATCTATTAATTCAAATCTAAGAGTGAATCAAAGAGACCTGTCAAATAGTTGGTCGTTTAATAAAGTCTGGTAGCGGTATTTTTAGTGCATAACGAAGGATCCGTTGTGGAATCCTCTACAAATTTACGATCTTACATCAAGAAATCCATAGCCAATCCGCGTCCCCATCCGTTGGTTGGCTCTTTTATGACTCGTGGACTTCAACTCCCAGAATTCCTGAGCCAGCATGGCTGGCTCAGGAATTCTGGGAGTTGAAGTCCACGAGTCATAAAAGAGCCAAGGTTGCCTACCCCTGGATTCCTGAGAGAGGAAGCATCATTCTAAGACAGTGTTTCTCAACCTTGACAATTTTAAGGCATGTGGACTTCAACTCCCAGAATTCCGCAGCCAGCAATGCTGGCTGTGGAATTCTGGGAGTTGAAGTCCACATGCCTTAAAATTGTCAAGGTTGAGAAACACTGTTCTAAAACAACTAAAGCTCTGAGAATTAGCCCTTCCATGTGTGGCCCATAGGCATGATTACTGCCATCAACCCACATGTAATCTCAATGACTAGGAAATGTAGTTCTGAAAGATTTCTGATTGGAGTTATCAGTTGAGAAAAGAACATTGAGGTATGAGAGTTGCTTGGCTGTGTAATGGGGTGGGATCTGTCTTGAAGTGCAGTTAGGGATACACATCATCCAAAGTCCAGGCAGAAAGAACTATCCCAAAAAGAACATTCACTAGAAAATTAATCTCAGGAAATGCTGCAAGATTTTACTTCTTCCCTAACAACTGGATCATTAAATATTATGGGTCACTGGCTTCCTTGCAGGCATTTTTTTTTTGTAACTCTAGCTCTTTCAATTCTGACTAGTATTCACCAGCTTGGCAGATATGCAATTCCAGTAAGATGACCCTTTTCTTCTGGATCCAATTATGTGAGATCTGCAGAGACTTTGGAACTTGGCATTGCTTCCTGCAGAGCCCTGAAAAGGTCCTAGGAAGAGCCTGATGTGCCAGACCGTTGCCAATGCACATCTTTGGAAAGCAGTGAACCAAAACCAAGAAGCACACCCAAAAGGAAACATTAATCGGAAACAGAAAGATGTAAAGCCTTTACCTGTGTCGGAAACAGGGACTGATTTGGTCAGGATGATATCGGTAATGACACCAACAATACTGAAGGAAAACACCATGGGGGGCACAATGAGGCAATAATGAAATACATTGGTCATCAGGACCTGTGAGAAAAAAAGAGTAGCAGGTCACAAAAAACGAGATACTGATATTCAGGAAGAGCTTCTTAACCAATTTTGCAGGTTCCACAAGTGATTTCAAATCTACTTGTCCCAAAACATATTGGGATAGAGGGACTACAGGCAGTCCTCGACTTGCAACAGTTCATTTAGTGACTGTTCAAAGTTACACCGGCGCTGAAAAAGGGACTTATGACCGTTTTTCACACTCACGACCATTGCGGCATCCCCGTGGTCACGTGATCAAGATTCAGACGCTCGGAAACTGACTCATATTTATGACAGTTGCAGCGTCCCGGGGTTATGCAATTCCCTTTTGCAACCTTCTGACCACTAAAGTCAATGGGGAAGCTAATTTCACTTAACAACTCTGTTACTAACTTAACCCCTGCAGTGATTCACTTAACGTGGCAAGAAAAGTCATAAAATGGAGCAAAAGTCACTTAACAAATGTCTCATTTAGCAACTGAAATGTTGGGCCCAACTGTAACCATAAACCAGGGGTAGTCAACCTTGGCTCTTTTATGACTCGTGGACTTCAACTCCCAGAATTCCTGAGCCAGCTGTGCTGGCTCAGGAATTCTGGGAGTTGAAGTCCACGAGTCATAAAAGAGCCAAGATTGACTACCCCAGCCATAAACCGAGGACTAGCAGTACTTGGTTCCATTCTATTTGCCTAAATGACTTGGGAAGGATGTAGGCGACGAGTTTTCCAAAGAGCAGAATACGGATTGCTCAGGAGAAGGCAGCTTCTGAAATAAAGAGACACCTATCAGGTCCTGATGATCTGGAACAAATGGCCACAGATGCTATTAAGAAGCTTAGTTGATATTTGTTTAGGGCAGTTATTATTAGATTTTTATGACAGGACACATCTATATAGTCTTGTTAGTGGCAGGATATAGCTGAACTGTTTGATGTTTGTTTCTTCACCCCAGGGGACTCTGGGACAGAGCCTAACACCTTTTGGATTTGGCACAATTCACCTTTTTCTCCTTCTTGAACCACTATCAGAGGAGCAGAATGGTTCACTGGTACAACGTCTAGCAGCAACAACTTGCAAATAAGAAGAGCTGGAACTATTATCCGTGTCTTAAAGTCCATAGTGATAGTTCTGAGGATTAGTACATATCGTAGACAATATTGGACCACCACATGACTACTGACTTAATAATTATTTTCATAGATGAAGGCTGCTTATGTTAGCAGGGGAACCAATACTGACAATTTTTAATGGGGGAATGTCTATAGCAGTGGTGGCGAACCTATGGCACGCGTGCCAGAGGTGGCACTCGGAGCCCTCTCTGGGGGCACACGTACCGTCGCTCCAGCCCTGCCTCCTCCCACAGCCCCCTCCTCACCAGCAGCCCCCCTGGAGGAAAGTCACCCATGGGCGTGGCCCACACGAAGCAGCACAGCCAAGGACATGGTAGCCGGGCAACAGGACAAGACTCCGCCCTCGCGCCCCGTCGCACACAGATGATGCTGGGGGGCACGGGCGGAGGGCATGACCACCATGGCACTGCTGGGCTGCCTGGGTGATCTGTGGCGGGCCGTTCAGGTAGTGGGTGGCCCAGCGGGCAGGGCGCAGCGGGCCCGGGGGGTGAGGTGGTGGTTTTTGGGCACTCAGTTTCTAAAAGGTTCGCCATCACTTGTCTATAGCATCTCCTGCTTCCACTACTGTATAACAATATAGACAAAAATTATTCCCTCTCTTCACATAGTCTCAGCAGAAGTGTCAGCTGATCTGACACAGTTCTTTGGATAGTCACATATTGTGGATGAAACTTGTAATCCTTACAACATGCTGGCTTGATTATTACTAATTGTTTGTATTTCCCCTCTTTCCAGCAGATCAACTCCACTGCTCACTCTTTGTTCTGATTTAATCAGGATTTTTCTAGTTTAAATACACAATGGACAGTTGATGAGCAGATTAAGACTATTCCTAATGGAAAAGACCTGTTAGTACTTGAAGGTCCCTGCCAAGAGCTTCTAACCTAGAGGATAAATTGCAGCAGAATATTCATTTCTCCAGTCTCCTAGGAATCAAATATTGCCATATATAATGGAGACCTTTTAACAGTCCAGGAAGTTTCTACTTTCAATTATCCATAGAGTGACTCATCGTCTAAGATAACTGAATCCCTGTGAATTAGGACGCTATGGAGCCCTGAGAGGATGGGTTGGGCCTGTTGAACATCACATTTTCCGTGACTGATTCAATCATTTACCTTCAAAGTTTGCTGCATCAGCCTGCACTAATGTAGCCTGTATATGAGAAAAATATTCTCCTAACATGGCTTTAGCTCAAGAAAGGAAGCAGCATATTTAGGTACTTTCTTGGTTGTTTTCCAAGATCCTTTCCCAGAACTGTCTTGGGGCTAATCTTTGCAACATGACATTTCCCTAATATGATATGCACAGCAATATCTGCACAGATAATTAACATTAAATCATGCTTGTCCAAATACACGGAACTTAGGATTTGGGGAACCAGTTTGGCTTGCTCACTTGCAAGTTAATTGAACTTCAATGAGCTAAAATGTCTCTCAGTTATGCAGATCACTTTGCATATGCAGTACGGCAAGGACAATCTTTTGGTACTACAACATTGTAGTAGAGATGCTTAAAATCTTAATTCAACATAAACATGGGCTCTAGATCTTGGAATGACTTTCTAGGATTTCTTCAGTTTGGGGAGACGTTCAGTGGTAGACACCCTAGCCTAGTTTGTGTGCAGAAAGTCATTAATTCAATCCTTGGCTTTCTGAGTTGAAAGGATCAAGTGGCAGTCGATGGGAAAGGCTTGTCTGTAGAAAGTTATTGGCTTAATCCCTTCAAATAATGTCCTAGAACAGTGATGGCGAACCTTTTAGAGACCGAGTGCCCAAACTGCAACCCAAAACCCACTTATTTATTGCAGGGTGCCAGGTGGGCATGGCCCACTGGGTGGGCGTGGCTGTGGTGGTCATGGCAGATTGGGTGGGTGTGGCCAAGGTTGGCGTGATCCCCTCAATGTTGCTCATGGGGAGGGACGCCTGTGGGGGCCGGGCAGGGTTGGGGGAGATCCAGGGAGTCTCTGGCAGGTGGGGCGGTGGGCAGGAGGCTCGTCCTGCAAGGTGAGGCGAGGCAAGGCGAGGCAGAGCGGGGGTGCCATTGTCACAGGGCAAGGTGAGGCAGGGGCCGAGGCGGCTGCCTGACACCATCGGCTCCCGCACACAGAGGCCAGCGAGCGCATGGGTGCTGGGATGCATCTAGCTACGTGGGACCTCGGCGAGTTAGCAGGTGGCTGGTTGAAGAGGGCCGGTTGCCATCTCCGGGGCATGGCACGCATGCCCACAGAGAGGGCTCTGAGTGCCGTCTCTGGCACGCGTGCCATAGGTTTGCCACCACTGTCCTAGAACTTGCATTCTTTTCATTTTCGTCACTTTTCACAAAATTCTTCAAAACCTTAAAAGTCACTTTTGTAAATCCAATATAGGGATGTTACCCAGGTTGCACTTTTTGTTTGTATATCCCTTTTAAGTATTAAAACATCAGCTGGTTTCATTCATATATCCAGTGTAACAACTTTTTCCATATCATTGTAGCCTGTCATTTTTAAACCACTTTCGGATCAGTCTCATCCGGTAAAACTTGTTCCTCTTCCATAACATCTTTTAAACACAACCTGTCTATAATGGCAGATACTTTTAAAATTAACTTCTGGGTTCATTGTTCACAAACATCCCTCAATATGTCCAATGTTGAGGTATCGTGCTCTGTTCTGTACTGGTAAGTCAAATTCTTTCTTTTCCTTTAATTATAATCTTTAGTTCCTTCTGGTTACCGCTAGTGTCCAACTTTTAATCTCATCATATTACGCTTTTTAAAAAAAAGAATTGAAAACAGTAGCATTCCCTCCTTATTTTGAATGCATCTGCACCCTTAGTCAGTCTGTACTTTTCCAAAATTAACAGTGTAATCACCCTTTTGCTGATTATTTTTTTAAAAAAAAGGTTTTTAAGCCCTTAAACTAATATTTAAAGTTTCTTTCACAAAGAATTCAAGAAGATTCACCTGGTACTGTAAAACTTCTTCCAAAGGTTCTTGATAGCCGAAAAGCAGTTAATGAGCAATTTCCAAAAGGGATTAAAAAAAGAAGTATGCAAACTCAGCATCCATAAAGGTGCTGACCATGGTTTGGACAAAGAAGGTGGTCCCTCATTCCCAGAATTCCCAACCTACTGGAGGCCACTGTCTTGCAGTTCCCTCATGAGGAACACCTGGAGCACTTATGGGTGACGGAATCCCAAAGAGCTGGTCCACTCACCAGATCTTCATTCCTCCATGATTGTTGGCTTCACTCTTGGAGGAATCATCTTCAGTTCATCAATTCTTTCCTAGAAGCCCTGTTATAGAACAGCTTCCTATTTGCCTTGCTCATAGACAACTTCCAGCAAAATTTTGATCCAGCTTGAAGAACAAATCTTTACAATTAATCTGTGTTATGCCTGGTAAGAATTTTCTGAGACAGAAATATAACTCATGGCTATCATACCAGCTATCTTTTCATTCTGCAGTGTGCAGCAGAGACAAGAGGAATCAAACATGTTGCTGCCATGATAATGCAAAGTCTGATGACAAAAAATATGGCTGATTGATCACAGAAATAAGGAATCAAGAATCATGGGGAATAAAACAAAAGTCACCATGGCTTTTCTTAAGACTCCGAGAAGCTGTGGGATTGGTGGCAAAATGTTCATATGAGCTTTCCATCCCTGAAATTTGTTCTCTATTTTAAAAAATTCTTTGAAGTCAATGGCCCAACAAATGAGAGTGTCCTGAGTTTCTTGATTGCACTATTTGAACAAAAAGTCTTTGATCTTAGAAAAATTTGAGTTGCATATGAGATTCACATTAAAAATAAGTGAAGCTTTGATTGCACCATTGAAGTTGCCATCTTAGACTTTTTTGCCCCCACCCTGCAGACACCTCTGCTCTCTATGTGTTAGCTCTTAAAGCTCAATTTCTTGCTTTGCCTGCCCAACTCCAATCTGTTGCCTTGTCTTCTCTTCAGCACTGTAAGAATGCTTTGTAAATAAATACATCTTTCAAATTTTCTGAAGTAATGCTCTGCCTCCAGTCTTCCTTTTCTCTGTATTTGCAAAATACATTGTTCAAGATCCTGGGGTGGTGAGAAAAATCCAATATCAGCTCACTAAGCTCAAAGAGAATGCTTGATGTTTTCATTTCACACAATGGCATATTCTCTAGTGCCACCCAAAATAAATTTGAGTGTTGCCTTTTTAATATTAACTAAAACTTAGATGACAATTTTAAAACATTCTCAGTTTAGGAGACTTTTGCATGGTTATTCTGCCAGACTAGTTCCTAGGGATGTGACACTTAGGGCCATTCAGAAGTAGTCAAATTATAACATCTAGTACAGGAGTCTTCAAACTTGGCCCTTTTATGACTTGTGGACTTCAACCCCCAGAATTCCTCAGCCAGGCACACTGGCTGAGGAATTCTGGGAGTTGAAGTCCACAAGTCATATATAGGGCCAAGTTTGAAGACCCCTGATCTAGTATTTCTGAAATCATTGACAATTCTAGCTGGGTCAGTGAGGCGCATCACTGAAGGAATCACACAACTTTATCTCTGATCTACTCTAACTAGTAACAATTATTTAAGTTTTCAAATAGAAAATTCTTCCTGTCACCTGTCACCTAAGAATTAAATGGAAGTGAGCCTCAACTTTCTGTAGCTTTTCTATTATTGGGCTGTGGCTTCCGCTCCAAGACCATCGTTTATTCCCAAAATGCCTCCTCTGAAAAATTATCAGGCTGAACTCTGTCTGGCCCCAGCTTGAGACTTGGGGCATCTTGTTTACTGCTCTCTATTTCACCTCATTTTTTCCCCCTTCATCTGTTACCTAAACCTTTGCAGGGCTCCTTTTCAGCACAGCTGGCCTCAGTTAATTTCAGCCCCGCATATTTCGGAGGCCACGGAGGGGAAGTGATTCTACGGGGGCGGATGAGGGAAGTGTAACTTGAGATCTTTGTTAAATGTCTTCCTTATATAAATCTTTTTTATCAGCTAGCTATATCAGCTGCACACTTTGTTCAGGCATGGATGTTCCTGGGGATCAGTTCAAGTTGTATCAAGAGTTTTTTTTTCCTTCAAAGGCAAAGACATTTGCTTATTGGATGCTTAAGCTCAAAGCTTTCAAAAAGTTTTATTTGCAAAGAGGACATCAGCCTCACTTTTCTGTCAAGAGTAATTCTGGGAATCTTTTTCTGGCCCCTTTCTTTTAACGTTTATGTGGTCCCTTTCTCACAGTAAGCCTTTTCTCCCAGATGCATCAAAAGCTAGATGCTGGGTGTGTATGTGGCTGTGTGTCTCAATGTTCAGGTGGTTCTCGACTTACAACCACAATTGAGCTCAAAATTTATATGAGACATTTGTTAAGTGAGTTTTGCCCAATTTTATGACCTTTCTTGACACAGTTGTTAAGTGAATCACTTCAGTTATTAAGTTAGTAATACAGTTGTTAAGTGAATCTGGCTTCCCCATTGACTTTGCTTGTCAGAAGGTCACAAAAGGTGAACACATGACCCCAGGACACTGCAACCGTCATAAATATGAGTCAGTTGCCAAGCATTTTAATTTTCATCACGTGACCATGGAGATGCTGCAACATTCGTAAGTGTGAAAAACAATCCTAAGTCACATTTTTTCAGTGCTGCTGTAACTTTGAACAGTCACTAAATGAACTGTTGTAAGTCAAGGACTATCTGTACTTCTTACTGAACTTTACTTTGTTCTCCAAATTGAAGCTTATTTTGCTCAGATTTTAATATCATGTTGTGATCAGCACTGGTGTTACTGTTAAAAACTAAGAAATCATAGAGCAGAAACTCTTGGTCCTAGGTTAGCCTGGTGAAAGGGGGCCCTTTAATTTTAAATATATGAGCCCAAGCGATGAGCCGTTTCAGCCAGATGGCATTTGAATTTTTGGAAAACATCGTATATTTTCACTATTTCATTGATTATTGCTGTCTATATGAATGCATTTTACAGATATAATTTTTGTTTACTTCCCATTTCTTTCTTGAGATTCAACTGCATAATCTGCAGTGGACGTTATTCCAGCATTTTGTAATCCAAAGCAGTACAAAATTGTGTTGAATCTTACCATAGCAATGCCAACGCCACATAAAACAATAACACTCAGCATAAGCAAAGACCGCTCAGTATAGCGACTGGTTAATCTTCCAATTACTAGGCCCTGGACGACCTGGGGGGGGGGGGAGAGAAAAAAACACACAGATAAATCAAGCTCTCAGAAATGTCTAGAATTTCAGGGGTAGGCAATCTTGGCTCTTTTATGACTCGGGATATCAACTCCCAGAATTCCTGAGCCAGCCATGCTGGCTCAGGAATTCTGGGAGTTGAAGTCCACAAGTCATAAAAGAGCCAAGGTTGCCTACCCTGGTCTAGATTAAATACAGGCTAATACATACTAAACAATAACTTCTGCAGAGTATCCAGATCCCAAAATTAGATTATATCTAGGAGATCTTCAATTGACTGAACAGTTTGCTTTCAGCATTATGTTCATGTCTTCTATCATTTGGGTCACCAATAGAGAAGGCAGAGATGATTAATGTTCCTGCCATTATCTTCTGTGATACACACCAGGCTTCTTGTCCTAATTTTATTTGTTTAATGAATGTTTAAAAATAAACCTCCCAGGTGTTCACAGGTGTTTTGATCAAATCCATCATCTCATTCATTTTGTAAGAGTGCCCATAATATTCCAAATGGATCAAAGAAATTACATGATGCTGATGACATATAGAAATTACAGCTTAAGAAAATGTTGCACATAAATTCATGCAATGTGAACTTTGTTGGCTGCCACAAAGAAGAGGGAGTCAAGCTATTCTCCAAAGTGTCTGAAGGCAGGAAACTAACTAAGGAGAGAAGCAATCTAGAACTAAGGAGAAACTTCCTGACAGTTAGAACAATTAACCAGTGGAACAACCTGCCTCCAGAAGCGGTGAATGCGCCAACACTGGAAGTTTTTAAGAAGAGACTGGACAGCCATTTGTCTGAAATGGTATAGGGTTTCCTGCCTGAGCAGGGGGTTGGACTAGATGACCTCCAAGTCCCTTCCAACTTTATTATTATTATTATTATTATTATTATTATTATTATTATTATTATTATTATTATTATTATTATTATTATTATTATTATTATTATTATTATTATTATTATCAAAGTAAAACTGGGGAAGGGGACAGGGCTCTTGTCTCACTACTACTAGTCTTCAAGCTGTTCCCATCTATGACCATTTAATCACCTCTTTTCAACAGTTTATTTATCACAGCAAACAAACATTTGTGATGACATGGGGAAAAAACAACTGGGAAGGCATTTTGAGTTGGAAAAATGTCTACAAATTTGGGAAGAATGGGCATGGGGGTTACTATCTAAATTAGACAACAGCTCGTCCTGACAATAATTCATCATTAAAATGAGAAATGTCAAAGGAGTAATTGTAACACAGCATTGTATCTTTAAAAAGTATTATTTCAACAAATATTTTAAAAACACAACCAATTACAATAAGATAGGCATTCACTATAATTTCATATAGGATGGATCTCAGTGCTTTGATATTATGTTGAGGAATCTGCTCTAAACAATACAAGTTAAATTAAAACTTGTATGAAATATAATATATTTGGAAAAGTGAGTTAGGCAGGTACACATTTTCCAAAACTATCTTTGAGCTGGATGACATTTTTGATAATAAAAACTTAAAAAATTGGTCCTGGTCACTACTCAGGAAAATGAAGACTACAGTATATCTGCTTCCAATGTATATGTATAGCCAAAACATGCTTAGTAAGAATATTTTTACTCCCCTCGCCTCCTGCTTTTAAATATTGCTGATGTGGTACACAGTTAAGATAATTAGAATAATTTAAAAACTTTATCAGTTAAAAAGGTATCAGCTAAAATCCTAAACTCACTGTACACTTTTTAATAAATGGATTGAAAAAAAAGCAGTACAACTTAGTGCTCAAGAGTCCTGCTAATCCAAATAGGTATATTTGTACACCAGGGATAGTCAACCTTGGCTCTTTTATGACTCGTGGACTTCAACTCCCAGAATTCCTGAGCCAGCCATGCTGGCTCAGGAATTCTGGGAGTTGAAGTCCACGAGTCATAAAAGAGCCAAGGTTGACTATCCCTGGTGTACACTAACATTTGGGGGGAGAATCATCCATATCCACCATTATACACATAAGGTTTCATTAAAAAAGAATAAACAGAAATTGAATTCTTCATTAGTTGCTTGAGTGACAGGATTTTTTTATGCAAATGAACCAAACTGTCTAGTTACCATCCCTAGGCAGGAAAAAAAAATCAAATGTTTACCTGGGAGGTCATGAAACAAAGTTAAACAACTCTTCTCTCTATACCTTCGAGATTTCCTCTCTCTAAAAAAAAAAAGGATGTAGCTGCAGTATTGACCTATCTCTTCAATCACTTTAAGGGTTCTGTACTTTGAACATGTGACACCATTCTTTATTGCCGATGAAAATCTCAACACTGTCTAAATGGGAAGCTTTTTGGGGGAAAAAAGCAAGTTCAAATGTAGAAAAGTAGGCAATACATTAATATATATGATAACGCAATTTGATCCCTTAAAATAGTTCTTAAATGTATAGATTTCTTCCTTGGGTGTGCCATTGTACTAAATGAATAATTACAAGGTTTGAGGTATAATTGGATTTTTTCCAAGACTCCACAAATATGCCTTATAACACACTCACGTCTACACTGATTCTACTACAATTCAAAAGGTAGCCATTGTGCAGTTGATAGAAAAAGAGCATCTGGGGCCATGGAAAGTGTTGTGATTGCTATCATCTCTTGATTCATTTTTTTTGGGGGGGTGAGAGAAAAGTTTGTTGTGCCACAGAACAGAATTGCAAAAAGTGTCTTGTTAAATTCTAAATAACTACTGGAAAATCAGAAGCCCACTCTTATCTGTGAGTTTTATGGCTGTTCTTTTAATTAAATTATACTGTATTTCACTATCGATCTTCAGATCATGCCATCAGAATATGTGCTCTAACATGCTAATAATAACCTGTGCAGGATTGCTTACCCAATATATCACTCACAACAGCAGAATTACTTTTGACAGTGCCCTAGTTTTGAAGACTTTTGACTTATTTACACACACACTCGGAGTGTTTCTTTCCCTAAAACATTCAGTAAACAAAGAAAACAGCAGAAAAAATATGAGAAGCCCAGTGCTGATTGCATTGCAACTGCAGTACAAGCAAACTGCACAGCTATTTTATTCTGTTAGAGCAGATCATGGAAATAAAAGTCCCATGTAATGTATTGATCAGGAAAGACTATTCCCAATAGTAATGAAAATTACCAGAAGCTAAATTTGTTATGTTTCTTTCAAGCTGAAAACGGATGGAAGGGTAAGGAGGCTGGAGAAAGTATGCTAATAGTTCCATCATTCACCACAAATTGTCCTGCATAAAGATATTTTAATCAATGTCACTGTGGCAGCACACTGTGTTTTGCCTTGTATGGTAGTCAGGGAAAAGCCATTTATGTTTTGCCTTGTAACCATCAGACCCTTTTATATTACACTTTTTGTCGGTCTTATCTTACGACTATAGTATCGAACGTAACCTTGTTCCACACACCGATAGCATTCTTTCTGAAGATGTTTCAACCGATTGTTTACATTCTCTATTTTTAAGGCGTCCAGTTCTAACATCTCACTCCCTCACCCCAAACACACGTATTACAAAGTCAAGTACTACAGACATGATGGCTATGAAGCTCAGCTGCCAGCAGTAGAAACATTTTGGAAGAAGACACTGTAAGGCAGACAGAAATTAGGATCTTCTAGATCAGGGGTCCTCAACCTTGGCAACTTTAAGACTTGTGGACTTCAACTCCCAGAATTCCTCAGCCAGCTGCTGGCTGAGGAATTCTGGGAGTTGAAGTCCACAAGTCTTAAAGTTGCCAAGGTTGAGGACCCCTGTTCTAGATGTTTTTTTTTTTTAAATTGATGCCTCTTCAGGTCAGAATGAATGCTTCTAATAATCAGGAACATGGGGCACACAAGCAGATATTGGCTTTTCAAACCTGAAGTCTTGGAGAGGTCATGTTCTGTGAACTCTGAAAGACTTGCACTGAAACAGGGTATTCTGGTCCCTCAAAAGAAAGTTCCTTGCCCAGTGTTGAGAATAAGGCTGGCAATACTTCATTGAGAAAGACACATAACTCTTTCTGTCTCCTGGATAGCGCTGAAGAAGTGTAATTTTCAAAGACAGTCTTTCCCCAATACGGTACTCTTCCGGTGATTTTTGAACTGCAATTCCTATAAACTGCAGAAAGCATGTTCAAATGCAAATTGTCCTGGAAGTGGACTTTAAACAGACACTATGCTGGGCGGCTGCACAAGGAAAACATTTCACAAGCACAGCTAATATTATAATGTATGACAGCCTAGATCAGGGGTAGGCAACCTTGGCTCTTTTATGGCTCGTGGACTTCAACTCCCAGAATTCCTGAGCCACCATGGCTGGCTCAGGAATTCTGGGAGTTGAAGTCCACGAGTCATAAAAGAGCCAAGGTTGCCTACCCCTGTCCTAGATTAAAGCAAGAAACTATTTTTTATAGAATCAGACCACTGACCTATCTAGCTGAGTACTGTAAACACTGTAGTTATAGTTGCAAATAAATTCATTTAATTCACTATTTGATGAATATGCTTGGTCACATTGCAATAGAGGATGGACCGCCCCTTTGTTACAAAAATATGTCATATTCATATATCTCAAGAATCCTGCAAAAGTAAAGGAGACAATAAGAGAGCAAGAAACCTTGCAACCTCCTATTCAAAAGGGACCAAATTTATCCTCCACAGGAAAAGAAAGATGTCTTTAGCCAAGGCAATAGAGCAAGGTCCTATTTTTACAGGCATTCAAAGGGAAATTAGGCGTTGAACTAGTCAACAGATTATAGCTCTCTCCTATATCACCTGACAATAGCTGAGAAGCTAAAAGGAAATGATCAGGTGAGAGTGCTACTAAGTTTCTTAATTAATGACTGTGCAACACACCCAAATGTTAGCCTGCAGCTATTTCAGCATAATTGTATGTCATTAATCCCACTTTATGGAATGATACTGAATCATGGACATGTGGAATGAAGGTGGATGTATTTTGTAGTCTCTGATTC